AAATAAGATTTACTTTTGATTTTTTGTTCAAGGGGTTTTAAATATGCTTCAGGTTTGAGTAAATTTGCTGCATTGCGTAGTGCATATTTATGGAATAAGTCGGATTTTTGACGAGCTACTGTACATGCCTAAGAAAGAAAAATATTTTATAGAAAATAAAGAAAGATTTTTTTTCAAAATACGAACTCGTAAAAAACTATGTTTATTTTCATCAAGTTGTTCTAAACGATCCATTAAAATTTTCTGTATTTCATCATCTGTATAAATTTTTAATTTTTCATGTATATCTTCAATTGTTCGATATTCCCGTTCAAGGGTATCTAACATCTGAGACACCTGAAAAAATGAAAATTTTCAAAAATAAAAAATTTCCTTTTTAATTAAATTACTTGTTCAGATGATTTATAAAAAATAATTTGAGCATTGATTAAACGTAGTCGATCTTCAAATTGTAATTGAACTTTTTGTCGTGCAGATATTAATGTATTTATTAATTCAGTTGGGCCTGTTGGTGGATCAGTACTGGTTAGTAAAGTACATAATTTTTCTGTTTTACGTTGAAGAGTATCAATACGTTCACAGATTCTCTATATAAATATTCGAAGAAAAAAAAAAATAGAGAAGATTCTATTAGATAAATTAACCGTATATTCTTATTTATATAATTGAAGAAAATATTATTCGTACGAGAAATATTTTGTTGATTGATAAATCAAATTTTATCACGAGAGAAAAAAAAGTGCATTTGAAAGATGAAATATTGATTAAGAATAAAGTCATAACTATTGATAAAAATGATTTGATCAGATATTTTGCCTAGACTTGAAAGATTCACTCTCTATTTCAATTGATTCATTTTTTTGATATATCATTCATTTCTATTCGGTTATTATGATTCAAGGTTCAAAGCAAAACTGTTCGATATGATTTAATAGATATCTCTCATAATGCATTCTATTTTTTTTTGTATTTAATAATTTCAACTGTATATCTAGTATATTGATTATTTTTACAAAACAAAAAAAAAGGAGTTTCTTCTAAGGTCCTATCGCTCGGAAATAAATCGAACTTGAAATAATTAATATGCATATCTAGCGCGAAATTTTTCATAAGTATTTTACTCGATATATCAACAAAATAAATAATTTTAAATACTAGACATGAATTTATCACTTTAAATTATGAAAAACATGACTTTTGTTCGATATCTTACATCAACGAATGGTTTAATATCTTCATGATCACGATGAAATTTTTCAGCATCAGTTAAACTAATAGCTAATGTTAAATTTGACGCTAATTTTGTTTCAAAATTATTAATCATATTTTTAATCTAAAATAAACAAAAAAAAAAGAAGTATTATTTTTTGTTCGATACAAAAAAAGATTTTTATTTTATTTCATACTTCATTCCATTCTCGTTCAAGTCGTATAAATTGTACTCTCCATAAAATAAATTTTTGTTGTTGCGTTGCTAATTCAGATAATTTTTGTTCTCGATCACTCATAACAATAAGTAAATTACGAATTTGATCCGGTGATGGTATTGATGATGATTGTTGAGATGTTTCATTATTGGTTGATGATAATGATTGTTGATCAAATTTAATTTTTAATTCATTTGATTTATCCATTAACTACACGAAAAAAAATTACGAGAATTTATCTATTGAACGATCATAGATATATTTACATTAAGTATATCTCTACCACGCTGTACAACTTGTGTAACACGTGTATGTATATGTTCTTGTACTTGAGCCCAATCATCTACTTTAGCAGTCGTTCGATCGCTACTATGATGATGTTGAGAACGGTGTCGTGTTGTTGATGCACCCCCATTAATGAGCGTTTGTAAGGCTAATGGTAGGGCTTGTGGAATGATAACAGAACTAACAGAATTGGCTGATTGTGGCTGCTGTTGTGATGGTTGTTGCTGTTGCATTTTGACCAATTCGTGTGACCAAACGTCGAGTAAATGTGACACCTTGTAAGAAAAGAAGAAAAAAAAAGGCGAAAAAAAATTGGTGAATATCAACGCTAAAAGAGTGCGACTTTTATTATTATTATCATCGATGTATAAGCATTGCATATAGCAAGAGAACAAGCAAGGTGAATTGAATGTACATGGTATGCTGCTCACGTGGACATACAGAAGCAATCGTTCGTCTCCTCTCTCTCTCCCTCTGTCGTTCTCGTTCTTTTTTTCTCTTCTGTATCTCAAAATTGGAATGTATAACATTGATAGTACTCTTCTTTTTTTTTAGTCAATGCTGTTGTTTTCGTCGATGACGATTAGTGACAAGTACTACCATAATGTATACAATAAGTCTATTTATCACTCTACTCTTTTGTATCTGACAACTGTCTGTCTTTTTTTTTACCAAGTTAGTAACTTGTTAAATTGATGATGCTTATTTCTTTCTGTCGTTCTCGACTGTACTTTCTCTGCCTGCCTTGTACATACGTATATATGTATCTATACAGTGACATTACCAATGGTATGGTAATATATACTATGAAGTGTTATAATTATTGCTTCACATTCTTACATTACACTATTGTTATCAATGGAAAGAAAAAAAAATCTGAAAGACTTCACTGGAATGAGATAAGCTAGTCAAAAACAAGCTAATATAAAAAAGGAAAAAAAAATCTCCTAAATATTTTTAGGGTCAGCTATCTTATTCTATCACTGTCATTGAAAATGTCGCATGTGTCGTTTAACCAATTTAGATGAAAATAACAAAAAATAATATTATCAAACTGAATTCGTGCGTCTCTAAAGACTTTATATATCATTAGAAGTCAATAAGGAGTTGAAAAAGTACATTTTTAGTCATTTATTCTGAATATTTTATTGAAATGTCAATCGTATACCCTTGAATATCATTTTTTCCTTCTCTTCGATGTCACCTGAGCAAGTCTAATTAATCTATTTGATCGGACAAAATTTAACAAGATTAATGACATTAATTATAACGTAATATTTACGTCAACTTACTTCGCGTGAATATATTTCAAAATGTTTGATTTGTACAAATAATTCGACACGTAATCGACGTTTTTCCCAGATAAGTTCTAGTTCACTGGTTTTCTTACGAATTGATTCAATTAAACTCAATAAATGAGTATATTGAGGTGATGGTGTAGTATCATTAGGTGTTATCATTGATTGAACTTCACTAGAAGAAGAAGAAGAAGAAGAAAAGAATTGTTTTGTAGTTTCGCTTGAACTACGAAGACTTACGTTAAATAATCTAAAAGAATTTGTCCTTCTTGTTCAATAGTTGTACAAGCTTCCATCGCTCCTTCATGTTGTTCAATTAAAGCTTCAAGCATTTCTTCACAATTAGCAGCAATTGTTTCATTATCATCATCATCACCTCCTGTTGTCGACCAAACAACTTCAACTTGTGTTAACCAATCTGAATACTAAAATAATATATGAATAATTTTATCATTTGGATTCAAATCGTATAACAAACTTCTTCACAATGCGTATGAAAATTAAGATTAACATCAAGAATATATCGTCGACGAGCAACACGTTCATCAAATTCACGCATACGACGTTCAAGATCATGTGCTAATTGATAAATTTTTGTTCGACCTTGATTTAATTGTTTATCTGCATTATCTTCTTCCGCAGTTTGATTATTATTTATTTGTGATTGTTTTTGTTGTTGAATTTGTTCATTATACATATTATCAGCAGCAGCTATTAAATTTTCTGCATTCGTTTTTGTATTCTAAATAAAACAAAATTCAATGAGATATTTTCAGATTAGTTTTTCGTTTTAAGACAAACTTTAATAGCCATTTCAAAATCTGTATGCATTTTATCAAGTTTTTTTGCTTGTCGAAGAGATTTTCCAATACCAACAGCTAGATTTTTTTGTAAAAATGCATCACCATGTTTTTCAATCCAATCGAGAATCTAAAAAATCAATTTTCGTTTAAAAAAATAAATTCTTTTAGAAAAACAAACCTGTTGAACATCATTAGCAAATGCAACAAAACTAAGTCGTTGTTGTAAAAATATTTTACGTTGATTCCATTTAGCATCAAGATATCGATGATTAACTAATATCTAATAGAAATAAAAAATTTATTCTTAGAAAAAATATTCAAATAAATTTACTTCTTGAACAATTTCAAGTATATGTTTAGCACCAGCACGAAAATCGAATTGATAGTCAGTTGTAGATTGTTGAGATGGAGCTACTGAATCAATGATTGCTTTACCATCATTACAAATCTATTTTAAAATAAATTATATATTAGAGAGAACTTTAAAAAGATCGAAAACCTTCATCATTGTATAGTATTGAATAAGCTTTTTTTTGTAAAATACCTTGAGATTAATCAATCGAAAAGCGATTCTCATTCACTATAAAAACAACTACGAGAGAAGAGAGATTATTCCACGTGACAGCGTTACATGTTGTCCTGTGATGCATCGTTGACGATTAACGAGATTAGGAAACTATTGCAAATTTTGTTTATTCGCTATTTGACAATGATAATTATTAATAATTTCTAATAGAAATGTTATACAAATTGTTTTAGTATAAGTATAATAAACTCTCATCTTATCACATAATTATATCTAATGTGTCTAAAGACTTTTTTTTTGCATATACTCTAGTACTTATTCGAATTATGAAATCAACATTAATTATATTTTAACAACATACCTGAGCATAAATTCTTGAAATATTTTCTGATAGATTAAAATGTTGTTGAAGTAATCGTTCTAAATGTTCCATACTCTCAATTGCTGTTAAATCATCGGTTAATGAACATAAATGTTTCCATGTTGGTACTTGTACTAAATACTATGATAACAAAAAAAACTCTTTTCATAAAACATTGAAAAATATTTGAAATACGTTACTTCATCTGCTTTTTGATGAAATTGAAGTGAAGCTGTTAGAATATTTGTACGATTATCAAGTAAACGTGCTAAACATTGCCATTCATCATTTAAACGATTGACTTGAGTTTTTATTGCACTTGTAGCATAATGTCCACTTGATATAAGACGATCACCAACATTTTGTGTTCGACGAATAACCGTTTCATTACCCTAAAATTAATTTATTATATAAACTTATACCACAAATATTTTCATACTTACTAAACACACTTTAGCAAATTGTTCATGTTCGGCTAAGAGTTGCATGGCTTCTGAACAACTTGAACCAATTTCTGTATATTTTGGACCAAGTATCAAACGACTGTTTCCAATCCATGAACATAACTTTAATGAAAATAAAAATTACTTTATTCGATATCAATTATGTAAAATTAAACTCAATACAAATAAATATGTCTAGTTATTATTTAACACAATTTATAGATTTAATACGAAGAAGAAAAATCCGTTCTATTTATGGCAAAAGGAAGATTTACATAATCTCGTATTAAATCCCAGAACGATCAATAACGTCTTAACCCTTTGAGTCCCGGTGGGATATATATGCCCACCTAGCGAAAAATTGTAGTTTTCAAAAAATTTCGAATATATTTAAAAAATGTTCGTAGTTAAGATATATTTGTACCAGATTGAAAACCCTACTGAGTCAGTTTTTAGGCTCCCGTTCGTACACCTCCAAGGAAGTAGCTAAAATATCTCTCATCATTCCCGTAGGGGGTACGACTAAAATTTAAAAATGACTTAAAATATTTTTTTAAAGTATCAATGGAACTGTCGATAATACTCAATGCTCATACAAAATATCAAGTTTTTAAGAGGTTTCGTGCATAGATTAAATCGTGGGTCTCAAAGGGTTAAGAGCTCTGTTTCGTACTTATTCTAATCCTTCAGTGATTCAAAACTCTAGTCTATTATCAACGTATTTCAATCGAAAATATAATTTACTCGATCACAATCTTGTTCAAATAATCTTAATTGTAAATTTTGTTCTAAACGATTTTTTTTCTGATGCCATAATTGAAAACATCGTTCTTTTGCTGAACGAAGATTATCCATAACCTATACAAAAAGAAGATTTTATGAGTTTTCGTTCTTTTCAAATTTCTTACTAATGAGATTTTTCTTGCTTCATCAAAATAATCTAATGGATAAGTTCGTTGTTGTTGAGATTTCATTAATGAATTCTCATTATCAGAATTTCCTCTTAACATATTTAATAAATGATTTCCATCATTTAATAATGGATCAATATTAACACGTGATAATTGATCTTTAAATACTGTCATATGTGTTTCAATAGCATCTTGAGCTCGAGCAACATTATTGGATTGATCGACTTGTTGAAGATCATTATAAAGTAATTCATATGCATGTAATGTTTCTTTTGAATTATATACAAATGATTCCAATTTCTTAATTTTAAAGAAAAAAAGATATAATAAATCGAAATTATTTCTAACATACCAATCGAAAATCTAACCAACGAGTATGATTATATTGGAATGTACCATTTAAATCTGATGTTAATTGATTACGATCTATAGCATGGGATAAACTTTCAACAGATTCAACGGAATGCTAAAAATATAAAAACTGTAAATTTATTTCTTGTTTTCGAAAATAAATCATTTACATCAAATGTATATTTTGACATTCCAAGTGAGATTTTATGTTTATCCCAAAATCCATCCGGTTTAACAATATATACATGTTCAATTTTATATGGAAATTGTTCCTAAATAATTCAGTTAGAGAGTGTTTTATTTGAATAAATAACAAACTTGTAGAACTTTAAAAATATGTTTACAATTTTCCCATGTTCGTTGTCGCATATCAACAATAAAAGTGAATCTTGGATCACCATTTGATGAACTAAGAAAAATTCAAATTTACAAGAAAAGAAAGTTGAATAATTAATTACTTTATTGATGCTAAATAAATAATAAGCTTTTTTAATTCTTCACCAGATAATTTCTCAATTGTTGCTGAACTTGGAAATGTTATTATTAAATAACCTTTCTTATCAATAGCTCCTAGAAAAAAGAAAAATTTCGTTTATTTTACACTTAAAAAAATAAAATAAACAATATTACCACTAAGAAATGCATATTTTTCTTCAAGGTATGGTTTTATTTCAGCTGCTTTCATTATTATTTGAATACTTCTAGATAGAAACAAAGAGACATTATGATGAATTAATTGAACATATTGAACAAACGGATTTTATTCGATGGCATTGTTAACATGATCTTAGCGCCACATTCATTGTTTCGAATATAAATGCACCTAGCGAACTCTTTATATAGATTTAATTACTGAATAAGCCAACGAGATGTACTGTCGCGAGTTATACTAAAGAAGAAATGATTTAGTTCGAGAGATGTTTCCTTTCTCTTCAGCATTTGTGACATGTCTCTTGTCAATCAACAAAATAGAAATTATATGATTATCATTTGATGATGATGTTGACTATATACATATATTGATATGTCTAGTGATGAAAGATAATCATGAGATAGAAGAAGAAAAATATCAAAATAAATATTTATTCATAAGTAATAGTACTTGTAGAACTTTCAATACTTTCAACACTTATTCGATTATTTACAGATGTTTTCTTTTTTTTTAAAAAATAATTTACAAGAAAAATAATAACGATTAAAAATATAATACCACCAAAGATTATACCACCATAAAAAAGAACATTTTTCCAATCTATACGCGCATTTGCACTAGCTAAAATGACATATATGTATAATTGAAGAACAAGAAGATTAGTATCTACCGTTAGCTGAAAGTGCTTCTAATGTTTGTAGATCATTGTTATAATCTAACAAATCTAGATGAAAAAAAAGATTCGCTTACAGGATTCTTCAATCATAGTATCATAGACATTACTATTTTGAAAATTTGAATTTTGATTGTTATTTCCACCTGAATAAAATCGAAAATATTTTAAAGAAATTATATTATTATTCATACTTGGAATTTGTCCTATACTATTAATTCCATTTACAAGAGCATTTCCGACATTATTCGCATTAATACCAGAACCTTTTGTTGTTTGTTTTATTGTAGTTTTAGCTGTTGTTCTAACAGTTGTTTTAGCAGTTGCTTTAATCGTTGTTTGTACTTTAGCTTTTGTAGTAACTAGAATTATTGGTTTAGCTGGAGGTTTAGCTGGAGGTTTAGCTGGAGGTTTAGCTGGAGGTTTAGCTGGAGGTTTAACTGCAGGTTTAGCTGGAGGTTTAGCTGGAGGTTTAACTGCAGGTTTACCTGGAGCTCTAACCATTGTTTTTTCATTTTTTTCTACATTAGTTAGATCTATTTGCACTCCAGATTGCATGAGAGGTGATGCTAAATATAACATATATCTATATATAATTTTAACATGTTTTTTTTTCAATCAACCTTCACATATATAATGAGATTGTTCTATACATGATACATATTGAAGACAGATTGTATTCGTTAAAGTATTTTGTCTTATTTGCACACAATAAGAAGAATCATGTTTGCTATCATTATTACACCATATATATGATTCAATCCATGCTAGAATAAGTATAAATAGATATAATTCAACTCTCCCAAAGGAAATTAATTTAGTCATGCACATTATGACTTACCATTATCGATTTGAATCCATGTACCTTGATGAAAATGAGACATAGCATTTAAAGTATCATTTCTATTAAATATATAGTTAATTTTATGTTGTAAAGCTATAAATTCATTAGTAGTACTGATTGTCATAGGTTGCGCAACCAATGCTTTACAAGTTTTTTCAGCTTCATACCATGTAACACCTGTAGAATGATTTATAACAAATAAGAGACATTTACTTGTCTCGAACTCTAACCAATTAAATGCACAACCAACACAAGCACTAATATCATCATACCAAAAATATGGTTCTGGACATGTACATAGATTTTTATCGGTATTACACATAAGATCAAAATTACAATCATTATCTGTTGAACATTTTTCTTCACTTGTTACTGATACTACCTTAATATATACATTTAAATCAAAAAATAATTATTTATTTAATAATAATTACCAGAAAGAGAATAAAGATTAGAAATGAAGTGATGAAGTAAAATGGAAAGGAAAATATTAACATAATCACATCAATTTATTATAATTTAAGATGATTAAGAGAATTATTTGATGATAAACTGAGTAAATTATTTTCTACTTATAAACTAATTGATAAAGACAAGAAACTTGGTATCTAAGGAAATTTAATACGATGAAATAATAAAAAAATATTTAATCTCTTGTAATCGTTTTATATTATCATGAATGTAGGCTTTTGGATTTAATAACAAAATTGATTGGTTATTGATAAACATGAACAAAAGAATGGGAGAATCGATACATTAATAATAAAATAGTGTCATATTTAATATCATATAATCAAAGATTAGATCATTAATCATTTTAGCAAGAGTTTTTAAATGAGATCTTCGTCATCTATCAAAATTAAATAATAGAAAGTCTGACACTATTTTGATATTATTTAATAAAGATACTCTATATCTAAACAAATAGATGCACAGAGGTTAATAAAGATCGATAAAAAAAGATTTCAGTTGTTTAACACAATAGCTTATAGAGGAAAGATGTATCCTATTAAGTTACTGTTGTGTACAGTGTGTACGAATAAATAGAATATTAAAAGTTCAAAATTTTATTTTTTTTCAAAATAATTAAATAAAACTTATAAAAATACATAAAAAGTAATGTTTTTTCGGATTCCAAGTAAGATGGAGAACCATAATCTTGAGATTGGGTGTGGGTTTCGTTGTGTTGTCAGACATTCCCACTCTGTAAAAAAGAAATTTGTCATTTTGAACCCTTTATGATCTTAGATTTCGATACCATTTTCAGAAGCTTTTTAGGTTTTAGTAAAAAAATCTAGAACTTAAAATGGTTTTAGCCAAGATATACGGAACCAAAAAAGTTTTTAGAATTTTTTTCTAGAACTTAAAAAAAGATTCTGAAAATGACACCCAAATCTAGAACCACAAAGGGTTCTAGCTCTTCGCTAAAGCCTTTTATGGTTCACTATCACATCTGATTTTTTTACAGAGCACCCTCACAGCAATTAACATTATTGTACTTTTTCACAGTTTTGTTAATATTTTCGTTCAAATACACCCATCAGATAAGAAATAAAACATGCCGTTGGGAAGGCTGTTGCCGACATCCAAGATAGTAGAATACCAACAACAACAAATTTATTTCTGATGTTGAAAGCTGCAAGAAAAAAAACATTGAAAAACTACATATTAAATCTCGCCACATACGACGAAAAAGAAATTTATGGAGTTGGCATCTACGTTCTGGATCAAGATTATCAATATTGTTATCGTCGAACATTTCTTCAAAATAATTGTCCTAGAACAAAGAAGAAATGCTGTTGCTATATATTATGTTTTAAATATGATTTAATCAACTTCGATAAACTTTCTGCTAGAGTTACAATTTATTCAAAAGCCTACACAAGTTTGAGCGAAACTTCTCCAGTTTCAACGAACAAAAAGATGAGGCATGTCAATTAATCATAGGGAGAAAAAACGAACGAAATCTAATTTCAAATTGTGATCTGTATATTATATACATATTTTGAATGATGTGAATACAACAGCGACGAAAAATAAATTAGAACAAGACACAGGTGAAATATTTCCAGTTGTGATTAATAATAAATCAAAGAAATGAGAAGTCTTATGTAAAACAATACTAAAAACTTGTACTTACATCAACAATAGGTTGAAATTCAACTATACGACACATTTTTCAGCGTACTATGAATACTATGCTATCCAATGACACAAAAAGTAACGAGTGTAAAGAGATACATCATTTTCATCTATCTCTTAACCTTCATATGACTTGCATTCTGTTGTGATCGCTATGCATGACTGCTGTTCATTGTTATATCTTTCCTAAACAAGAGTGTGAGGGTGAGGGTGCACTGGTTATAAGATATATATACAAACTGAATTTCAAATTAAATTGCTTGATCTCGTGTCATATATGATCAATTCAGTAGAATAGCCATAATATGAAAAGCAAGACTTATAAATCTTTGTTGTTTTATATTTATTTTTTAATTTTATCAGTCTCTATGGACATGTATACTTTCAGTTCAAAAGTTCAGAATTCACTTTTCCTCCTTTCAATAAAAGTCATAGAAAAGCGTTCAATCACAATTTCCTATTCAAATTTGTTTTCATTAAGATCTTTATAATATTTCTAAACATCTATTATTAATATTAGCAAGGAAAAAAGAAGGTAACATAATAGTTAGATAATTCAGATTTAACAAATGAAACAAAATGAGTAATACCAAATTTACAAAATCCTTTTTCTTCATCATCGTCATCAAATTCTATTCTCGATTTTTCTTGGAAATCATCGTTTTCTTATTTTAGTCGATGCATTGTTTTTTTCCTGTTATTAAGTTTGCTTTAAATTTTGATAAAATAGTTTATGTATCAAAAAATATTAATTCATATTTTGGTTATTCACAAGATGAACTTATTAATCATCAAGGTTATTTTTCTTTTATCTTTCGTTTAATCAATAGTTGATAAGTTCGAACATTCGAGATTTCATTTTATTTAAATTAATTAATAAATATGCGGTCTTGATCCACTGAGAATCGAATTTTTCCATCGATAAAAAGAACATGTATAATAGTTAAAAATACATGACTCCGTTATCCATATAGGATTTAACCTTATATCCATATACAGTTAAAACAAGGTTTCTTTTCCTTTAGATATTTTTGCATTTACTATACTATGTAATTCTACTATCTGAGATAGCATGCGTTATATTGTTGATTGACATCGACAAACAACATTACTATCAGGAGAAATAGATAACAGTAACAAACCGCTATCTAGAATACTATATATGTATATATATATTACATAGGTCTAAAGCTATAGTTAAATATTCTACGCAACTAAATATTATAATCATGTATATGAATAAGAATTTTGTAAGTATATAATAAAAGACAAGATTTTTGAAAACTAAAAAAGAAACTTTTTATTTATATATAGTTTATTTGTTTTATGGTGTATCTATTGAACAATGATATATGTATAAAAGACATTTTAGCTGATACTACAACATCAGCATCGATACTTTCAGGTGCAATGACTGATTATCAGAAACAGAAAGATGAATTAACCAAAGCTCAAGAACAATTTAAAACTGAACGAGATGAATTTGAAAATGAAAAGAAAATAATGGAAAAATTTCTTAAAAATTCTGATGTTATTCAATTTAATGTTGGAGGTGAGATAATGTACACAAGTCGTGCTAGTCTTCTTCATGTAGCTAATTCAACCTTATCAAAAAAACTGCTCGGTAAATCAAAAGAGAAATTAAGTATTGATAAAGATGGTAATATCTTTCTTGATTTTAATCCTAAACTCTTTCGTCATTTACTCGAACAATTACGATTATTTGAAGATGGAGAAAAAATTGTTTTTTATCCTCCATTAACACCAATTCTTACTATTCCATTTAATAATATGCTTGAAAAACTTGGTCTTACACCAGCACCTATGTCCGATGATGATATATTTACATTTAATGTTGGAGATGAAATTATTGCTACAAAACGAAAAACACTTAATCGTATACCGAACTCAAAATTATCAACACTTCTTTCAATGAATAAACCATCAGATATGGATTTAAATGGTAGACCATTTCTTGATTATGATCCAAAACTATTTCGACATTTACTTACACAATTACAATCAGAACAAACAATAAATTTTGAAGCACCATCAATTGAATCAAAAACTGCATTCAATGCTATGCTTAATAATTTAGGTCTCAAACATAAATAAATCGAATTTTTTGCATTTAGTCTATTATTGCATGAGTTTTTAGCTTATATTTTTGTATGTGTAATTAATTACACGCAAGTTGCGATTGCAAACATTTAAATGAATAAAAATTATATATGAAATTCCAGCATAGAACATATTCGTATTCTGTTTTTTTATTTAAACTAGAAATCATTTATATTTCACATGATCATATCCATATTCATCATATATTTGTCTCTGTTCAGTATTCGATAATATGGCATATGCTTGATTAATTAATTTAAATTGTTCTTCGATTTGTTTATTTCCAACATTTCGATCAGGATGAAATTCTTTCGCTTTTAATAAATATGCACGTTTGATTTGTGGTTCGGATGCAACTCGACTTACACCTAATAATCCATATAAATCAGGACCCATATCAAATGCAAATGTTTCTTTTCTTAAATAATTAAAAATCAAAATTTTCAAAAAATTTCTATTTAAAATACAATTTACCTTGGTTCTTCTGTTCGTTGTCGATTAAAAATAGGTGGTGCATCTCTTTGTTGAAAATTTTTCTCAGTAAAAATATATGGATTTTCTTTTTTAAAAGCAAGCCATTCACGAATATCACGTTTTCCACGATAAAGATGAGAATAATCTCGAATATATTTACCTAATTGTAAAGCAGCTAATGATACAACAGGTAATGTTAATCCAATTGAAAATAAAGCAACTGGTACTATAACAAAATGTCGAGTCGTTGCATAAAAAGCAAATGAAAGAATTGATATCAATGACATTATACATGTTGGATAAATAACTCCCATAATTAATGCAGTTGACTAAAAATTAACGTTTAGATTTTTATAAATTTTTAAAAAATATAATTTTACTTTTAATCGAGAAAATTGTCTTAAACCAGCAACTTGTCCTGTACGTCCATTAATTAAACATTGTAATTGTCTATTTCGATATTGATAATCAATTGTATAAACAGGAAAATAGATTAATTTTTGTATTTCTTTATTAATTGGAAAACGAATGGAAGTTATACGATATTCACCTTTACGTTGTTTATTTAATTCTTTTATGCACATATCTTGAATTTTCTTAACTATTTGTAAATCCCAACCGATTTCAAATGCTGTATCACGATCAACAGTCCATTCTTCAATTAAATTACTATTTAAAGATGAAATATCAATTGATTCTAATGATTCATTAGTTTTCATATCGATTTCAAGTATATGTTGTCGATCATAATTATGAGCAGCATATACATTAATATCAGATAAATTGATATTAGGTAAAGAAATTTCATCAGCTAATGGATGCCATTCAGTACCACCCCAAATCCATGCACCACGTTTTATCTAGAAGAATATTTATTTTGAAATAATTTTTAAAAGGAAAAATAGTTTTGATTACATAAGCTTCAGCAAATACAGTTCCTGTAAGTGAAAATGACCAACAAGGTAAATAACGTTGAGTAATTGTTACTGGTGTTTGTTGCCAATCATTAGGCGCCAACCTCTTAGAAGAAAATTAGATGAAGTTAATGAAAAAATAAATGTCAAATCGATAATTACCAAAATGATTTTCGCCAACGATTAAAATAATCAAGTGCTTTATTTTCATCAAATGAAAATGGTAGAGCCGTTCGAGTGTTAGTACTTGAAGAATTCGAATCATGAGTCAATGTCCGATACCATACAAAAGTGGACAATCGATTAGGGAATTTGATAAGACGTTGCATCGTTTTAAAACAATGAGAATAGATGAAAAATATTAAATCTGCACTCGAAATAGTACTGATAATGTTTGATTGGTAGTTATATAATCTCCTTTGATTTGCTAGTCTTTTTTCACAGAGGAAGCTAGAGACATCTCTGGAATTCATCGATAACTTAACATACAAACTTTTGAATTTGACTATAAGAATGATAATTCTGTTGTTTTTACATATTGAATCATTATTAGAATTAAAATCTATGTTGTCAATCAAATATATTTATGGAAAAATAAAAAAAGCCATAAGAAAAAAAAACGCAAAGGAAATAAGAAAAAAAGAAAGGAGACAAAAATGAATAATTTTTTTCTTTTCCTATCTGATTCGAATGAATACACACATAATCACTGTTAAAACAAATAAGAATTATGTATTAAACAAGTTCAGCTCTTATACAATCATGTGTAATAGATGAACTACCAATACCATCTTTAAAACTTCTATATGTTACAAGACTACTATCAAGATTTGATGGAGAATAAGGATGTAATCGAACATTGTCATATGGAGAAAATCGACCTTTCTAGAATACAAAAAGAAATTAATTTAGTGAGTTAATATTAAATTTAACAAATAACCTTAACGGCAGCATACGGAGAACAAGCTTTTGTTCTAACACTCGTATCCAATGCCAAATAAGAGGAAACATCTTCTGAATAATATGAAAGTACAATACAAACAATATTTATATATATGCGAAGGAAATAATTTACCTTGTGGCCATAATCGATTATGATTATGAGCAAGTCGAGTTAATGTTGCTGATGAATATGAAGGGACAAATGGTCGTTTCGCATCATCATCTTCATATCTTTGATAAGTATTAAATGGATAAGCATTTGTTGTTGATGAATATGGACGATCAAAAAATAAATTTGATGGAATTGGTTGAAATATATCAACTGTATTCGCTTCTGTTTCATTTGTTCCTGTTGTTGATGAATTATCACTATTTACATTTGTTCGTCGACGTTTCATTATAAATAATGAAATAAGTACAATATTAATTAATAAAATAAATAAACCAAATACAGCAACAATAACAATAACAGTTAAAGAAAATCTTGTTGATGAACCTGGACTTGAAAATGAATAAAATGGTGATGAGGGTAAATAACGTGATGTTGATGCTAGAATTTCATCTGTCCATATACTTAAATGATGTGAATTATTTGAACGTATACTAATATAATATTCACTAGCTAATAATAAATGTTTTAAATCAAATTTATGTTCACCAAATGGTACATCTTCATATGAATAACGAGTATCAGATGAAAGACGATAACGTATTTGAAATGTTTGACGTGCACCACCATCAAAACCTGGCATCCAACTAATTAATAATGATGAATGAGATGTATTCGTCACACGAACTTGATTTGGAGCATCAGGTATAGCTGGAAAAAAGGATCTTATAGTAAAATAAAAATTTTCCTAATAGAATAACTTACTTAATCCAGTTAAAGTTATATCTGTTGTTTCAGTACCTAATGAATTTTCTACTTTACATTGATATACACCATGATCAGATTTAGTAATATTGGATACATAAAGTACAGCATCGAATAGAAGATTTGGAGAAAATGATGAAGATGAATCAGTTCTTTCATTAAGTACTGATCGATATTTTGATGATGATGATAATACTTCATTATTCTTAAAAAAAGAAAAAAATTAATATCAGTTTATCACAAATAATATCTTAATCTTAGATTCTATCATTTTGATATATCTATCAAGATTATTTTATCTCTTAACTAACCTTCAGCCATGTTACAGTTGGTCTTGGTACAGAAGATATATAACAATGTAATTCAGCTGTAAGTAAACGATCAGAATCAGCTGCTGCTTTATTTCTACTTGGATCACTTCGATCAATTTCCGGTGCATCTAAATAATTTTTCTTACAGAAAATCAATGAACTATTTAGTAATAAAAAATTTACATTGAATAACTAATGGTATGGTTGCACGACTATTTTCGTATAGATTACTTATTTCACATGCATACTGTCCTGCATCATCTCGACGAATAGATTTTCCAATTAATGATACTTCATTTCCTTCTATCCGTTTTTCCCATTGAACACCATTGGTTATTGAAGATAATGATTCATTATTTTTAAACCATTTTACATTATTTAATTCAACTGGATTAGCATCAATACCACATAAAAGTGTTACAGAAGTGCCTGGCATTGCTGCTTCTGATACGGAATAACCTCGAGTTCGAGTTATGACTGGTCCATCTTAAACAAAAGCAAGTGTTTTTATAAAATAAAACTTTTTCTGTCAATTATACATACAGAGAACATTTAATGTAAAATTAACTTCAGCTGAACCATATGTATTTGTAGCTACACATCGATAAACCCCTAAATCAGATTTTTGTACACTTATTAATGATAATTGTCCTTGATTAATAAATATTTTTGATTGATCATTAAATAATTGTCGACCTGATGGATGAAACCATGTATAAGCAATTGGCATTGGATAAGCACTTGCTTCAAGTGTTATATTAAACGATTGATTTTCTTTCACATCAGCGAATGCATCAAAATCATGAAAATGTGGTTTATCTATATATAAATGATTAACTTATATAAGCAGAAAGAAAATTACTAAACTTACGATTAACATTGAGTACATATGTAACTTGTTTAGTTAATGGTGATGTATCAATATCTAAGGTTGCTTCACATGTTAATAGATTTCCATGTAAAGATAGATCAATTTGTGGTAACTAATAATAATGAATAATAATATAAAGAAAGAAAAAACTTAGAATACAAAAAACTAACCATAAATTTAATTGAATTCATTCCATTAAGATAAGTACTCGATGTTTTATATTGAATATCTGAATGTTTTATACCATCATTCGATTGTCGAATTATACTCAATGTTGCTTGTGGATTTGATATTGATGTTCGACATTCAAATTCACCTAAACTATCATTACCGACAGTTAAATTTGATAAAATTGTACTATCAATTATTTTCATTTCAGTTGGAAGGACTACACAAAATATAAAGTCAATATCGATATACTTTGTTTGATTATGAAAAACTTACAAACAACATTTAATGAAAATGAAGCAGTACGTTCTGGAAAAGTTTCCACTTGTCCTTTACATATCAATGGAAGATTATTATCTGATGATGATGCAATAAATTCTACACGACTTAATGCATATTTTCCATTTGTTTCACTTACATATTCTGAACGAAGTAATTCATCACCTACAAGAAAATAAATCATTACGAAAATTATCAATCGAAAGTTATTTATCAAACCTTTAAACCATGTTATTTTTCCTAATGGATTTCCTCCAGTAAGAATACATTCAGCAGTAATTTTATCACCAGCTTTAATTATTTTCTCTTTTGTTACTCCATGCATTTCAATACTTGTTGCATCATCTATCAAATAATGAAATTTCGATAATCAGTGAGGAAGATACTATTTTTAAATTACATACATATAATATTTAATCGTGTTGCATCAACAACAACTTGTCCTGTTTCAGGATTTCTTCCTTCACATGAAAGAATTTTCCTATGATATTCTCTTAATGGTTTATCTAAACCAATTGTTTTAACTAATTGTATTATTTTTCCAGTATAATCTCCACGTTCTTCTAAAGGATCGACATCACCCATTAAAATTTGTCCATCTAATTTCCAAACGACAATAGGTCGTGGATTTGATGTTGTTGTTCGACATGTAAATTGTCGAGTAGTTCCTTCCGTTAATGTTGTTACACTCGTATTTGTATTAGGTGTATTACCACGAATTTGTACTGAAGATGGACCAACTAAAGAAAAGAATTTCTACTTAACAAAAAAAAACATTTTAAAATAAAATCTTTACAAGCAACTTGTAATGTAAGATTTGTTTGTAGTTTTTGTCCTAATGAATAAAGATAAGCATTAATAACATTGCAGGAAAGTGTTGCATTATTATCTGATGGTGAAATAATCATTGTTATATTATTTTCAGTTGCATTTTGTTGATTAAGTATAACAAATGAATTATCAATTAATTTTGATGTATCACTACCACTATCATATCTATGCCATGAAAGTCTTCCTAAAGGATTTCCATCACGTGTTTGACATGATAATGTTAAACGTGATCCATTGATTAAAAAATATGTTGATGGATAACCACGAATAGTTGGTATACTTGGTGGAGAAGTTATTTCAATATCAAATGATGTTTGAAGTTTATCTGTATCATTATTAATTGTTTCATGACGAACATCACATGTAAAACGATTTTTATGTAAAGATAATGATGGAACTAATGCAAGAGTACTAACAGTTGAAAAAAGTCGACCTTTGAAGAAAAAAAAAACAAAAGAAGATAAGTTCTATTTCTGTTAGTGATCATCTAATCAACTTTATAATAGAAGAATTAGCCCTTTTGAAGAAAAGGTCATGCTTAGAAAAAGAAGAGAAAAACTTATCCACTAACGAGCATATTTGACTATTACTTAATTTGATAAAATCTTTGTCTAGATTTCTATTGAATATCATTGACTATGTACTTATTTGTTAAGTTTCGTCTCGATAAAATGTACTCTAACTATTAACTATTGAGAGTACTTGAAAAACAAACACATATTTTATTACATTGTTATCGATCAATTCAATAGAATAGACAAAAAGAAATCCTAATAAAGGAATTTGTTTATAACAAAAAGAAAGGAAAAAGTCAAGTTCTAGTTAATTATTATTATTATCATATAGATTATTACCTTGAGTAAATGTTCTTATTGTAGCTGGAAATTCTTGGCCACTTCCATTAATCCATTTAATTTGTGCAGCTGGTCTTGCACCATCAACACGACAATTTATTTGATGAATTGTTTCATCATATCTCATTGTTACAACAGTAGTTTTATTTGATGGTGGTCGATCATTTATTTGTATACGTTCTGGACGAACAAGAGTTCTTACATGTGCTATTTGTTTTAATGCTGGTGCATCATTATAGGGTGATACTTCACAAGCAAATACTCCTTCATCATCTAATTTTAATGATTCAATAAAAAAATTGAATTCTCCACGATTTTCATCTCCAATTATAGACCAACTTGGGAATGCAGGAAGTTGTCGATCATACCCTAAAGGAAACAAAAACATAAAAGGTCAATCATCTTTCATGTCTTACTAATGCTCATTAGTAGACAAAAAAGATAGTTACACACGTGGTGATAGTAGTGTTATTCTAAGTAATTTTTGTCGGTCGATAAAATATGTGTGTCAATCATCGCTTTTATTCCTGCTATGATAACGAGAGTTAATTGCTCTTCATGTTCGTTTATAGACTCCACCTACTTTCTAACCAATAAGTATTCATAGTTAGCATCTAAGTACCATCATTGTTCTTGGAGATATTTTTTAGCTTTTCTTCTCACACAGAGTGGGTGGATTATTTGTTCAAATTGAAGGGTTAGTGTTGCTTATCATTATCAAATAAGGCGGGGGGGGGGGGGGGATAGAGAGAGAGAACGAATCATTCAAATACTTGCCAATGGGTAGAGAAAAAGGCCAGTAATGGATGTTTATCAAATGTATACACTTCACTTGTCTCACACACATATATATACGATGATGATGATGTCAATTAGACAATTATGCTTAGTGTGCATTCATATTTATATATATATATATTTAAATAAAAAATTTACCCAATGCAAGTCCATCTTTAGTCCATTGAACATCACCATGTGGTGGTGCAATAACACATGGAATCGTAATATTTGAGCCAATTGCAGCTGATATATCGTGAGGTTTTACCTCATAGAATTGACCTTGACTATTGGATAAGTCTAAGATGAAGAAAAGAAAAGAAATAATAATAATGACAATGACATTTATAAAGTGACATAATAAAAGAAAATAGATTCATTTGTAAAGACTTACATAGGATTGAGTAGAATATGAACAATTGAAGAAGTAGGCTTAGTGCCATTTCTGAAATAGACAATAGTATAATGGTTATAGATCGGTCAGACACGCCATAGACAGATAATAATCAAGATGGATCGTTCTTATGAAGATGGGTCTGTTTCTCTGTCTTCTCTATAAACATATAATTGCAATCTATTCGATTCTGACTGACCATATACATATAAATATATATATGTACATATATATACACTTGACTAGGCTTCTTTAACATCAACAAGAACATTGAGGCATACAGGTGGTGAGAAACCTTTTTCTTAGACATTTCACTCAACTTATCCAATCACTTTAAAACAATTTAGTCTGTCTCTTTCGTTCTTTTTTTTTCTTCTTCTTCTATATGATATGATGAGACATGTATTGTAACAACTTAAGTCCTTCATGCTTATTGGATCCATACATATTGCGTTCGAACAAGTTTATTAGTACAAAAGAATATAACAAAGAATAGAAAAGAAACTATAAGGTGCCAGAAGGGAAGATCCTTGGTGCCATCTGAATATATAGTGTTTTTCCCAAGAGAATAAAATATACGGAAATATCTATATGTGCGTGACCATAAACTCACCTGACTAAGTGTATATGTTCACTGCAGGCTAGAGTAATAGCAACAGCTCGATAGTATGCTCTCTATAGCGTCGTTCATCTAATGTACTACGACAGGGAATCATAATCATAACAATAATGTGCATCCCTCTCGTACAATATCAGCTTCTTTGTGTGTGTGTGTATGTGTGTGTGTCTCTCTCTCTGTCTCCCTTTTTCTTCTCTTTCTTGTCGAGTATGTTCAGCATCTTTCTCCCTCTCTTCCTCCATTATATTGACGTAAGAGGAGAATAGTAGAGATTGTATGTACATATATGTACGTGCATGACTATAAGTCGAACTGCTTAACTGTTCAATCGTCACTCATGTTTGAACTCAACCGCCAAGACACAAGGGAATTTTATGAACAAATGAATGCTAAGCTTGTTGATGAGCTCAAATCATCTCTATACACTTTTCTTGCAATTAGTTGATTCTTTCACAAATAAAGAATTATAGGGGAAAAAAAAGTAACAGCTAGAGAAAAAAAACACAGCAGGTAATGTCTACTATTCTTAATTCGGTCAATGTATGATGAAAAAAAGTACTATTATATATTATGGGAAAAAAAACTGATAAAGAAAATTGTCTAGAAAAACAAATGTATTATTACGACAACAACTAGCACTTAACACAAAGACAATCATTGTCCAGAGATGAGTGTATCTATTTCATTTTATCAGTTTCTTGTATAAACATACACAATCATCGGACTAAAAGATATGTCGAGACTAGTATCAGCTGCATGGATTCATGACAATCAATAAAAATAACGATGAGACCTATTTTGTCTTTTCTCCTCATTAAACACGTCTCACTCAATCGTGAACATGGATCTTTAAACGCAGAAGGTGCCATACACATACATGCAGACATGCTGACTAGAACGAGAAAGAAATAATCAATCTCATCTTAGAAGTCATTGAAGTAGTTGCTTTGACACTTGTTCTTATCCATATTTATATATGTTTATATATAAAGTTGAAGAAGAAAGTGTAAAACATACAATATTTTCTCTTATGATTAATCCAAGGACATTTCCTTTCTGTTAAAAAAAACTACCTTTCAAGATGATGAACTATCCATCTTGACAAACTAGACGGACATTAACTTTTTCAACATCATATTCTTATATACTCTCTCTCTCCCCCCACTAAGAATGTCGAGTTTATACAAGCGACCATTGCTTCAGGGATTGATCATACATCGGAAGTAACTCTCTCTCTCTCTCTTCATCAAGCAAGCTTATGTTGAAAAGCTCTGTCTTCGAAGCCTGTCTGTCATCAGTGTATAATGCCTTGACCTATTCTTTTCGATAGAACTTACGCAATATACAGGTTACTTGTAATTAGCTATGAGTGTATGCAACAGCTTCTTTTTTCTTTATTTCAAGAAACACGATCGTCATTCTTATCTATTTTCTGTCTATTGCCTACTCAATGTATATTTCCGCACTTTACGCACACGCACACTTTTACCTTCAAGAACACAGAACTGGAACCAAATACAGAAGAAAATCTTAATAGAAGGTCAACAATCAAAGATCAAATTGTTTCATTTTCTATTTCTATTTGCTATCTGTAATAAAACTGTAACAATTGTTTTTCATCATCTTTTCTACTACTACGATCAAATCATTTATCACGACAGAAGTGTTAGTTCGTTCGTTCGCTCTTTCTTTCTCTCTCATCGAAGAAATAAAGAGCGAAGAAGAAGAAGAAGAAGAAGAATAAAGAAAAGAAAGGTGCCACTTCTTTCTCTTCTATTACACTTTCTCTCTCATACACTTCTGATCAGTGTTGACAGGAGAGAAAAAAGGTTTGTTTAGATTTGGCTCATTGAACAAAAGTATATTCTCAGAAGAAAATTAGACTCATGGGACGCAAAAAGACGTGACTTAGTAAACGTCAACATCAGACCAGACAGCGTGTCTGTTGTGTCTCTCATAGTCAAGGTCGTCAATCACACCTACTACTGACAGAATCAATTGAATATCTTCAAACGAAGAATGACCGACGATCATACATACACATACACATATACATATACATAGAGATGAAGCGTTAATCTCAGTTCAGACGCGTGTTCATCGTTGATCTTTGATGTGAAATGCTTGTCTTTTACCGTAAAATAAAACAAAAACAAATATAACAAAAAGAAAAAAACGTCAAATGCTTAATCTCAAAAAATCATTTCATATCTATATTCATTGATCACCGATAAAAGAAATCTTTGTCTACTTCCTAAGGGTTAAAATAAAATTAAAAAAAAAATAGAGAAAGACAAGTAACAGCAGGTGAGTAACGAAATAAAGAATAATTTCACTATTGGGCGCCAAATCGAAAGTGCAATTATATATTTTATCTCCGATAATGGATATAGATGAACAACAACACTTAAAATCAACAAATGAAATTGTTAAATTTGTACTTAATTCAAATTCATCATCATTAACTACTACAAATTCTAATCCTATCCAAGTTGAAATTCAAATGCCTATACATGTTCAAAAAGTGTATATGTATGAAGCAGAAACTCAAACATCATTATCATCATCATCATCATCATCCAATGAACAATCAGATCTATTAAGTAAAGAAGCAGGTGATGAAGCTCGTTTAACAGGTTCAACTAAACATGGTTTATTATCATTAGATGAATATCAAATAATACGTACAGGTGAAGAACATTGTTTAAAAAAATATTTTTCTGATGATGATATAAGTTTATCTGATGATGATGAAGAAATAACAGTAGAAAAACAAATGGAACAGATGACTTTAGATCAACAAAAAGATAGAACAACAGTTTTGATTGAAAATTTAAATAATAATGCGTCAACAAATCTATCTACATCACATTCGAATCTATCAAATACTTTCTTACTTGATGATACAACACATTTATCAGCAACATTAGCTCAATCAACATCATCACATATATCTCATAGTAGATATTTACAAACTTTTAAAAAAGAAAATAATGATGATGATGATGATAATTTATCTTCTATTCGTTTGTTTGTTCGTCAAGCAATAAATTCATGTCGTGAAAATTTAACATTAGTTAATCATTTACTTGAAAATATTCCATCATCAAATTGTATATTAAAACGAAAAATTCATCGAACAAATTGTATTCTAAATCTACCAAATACAATTAAAGGTCTTCAATACTATCCATCAACTAGTGTTCAAACTGAATAATAGATATTTGAAATTTATTATATGACAGTTTTATCTTCTCCACCTTCTCTCAATCTTGATGACATGTCCATTATCTTTATACATATATGCCTACTAGCGGTCACGCTACATATATATGTAGAAGAAGAATTCATTAGACAAGAAGAAAAAAAACTAAGATGAACGAGCACTTGAACATTTTTAATCACTAGATTATAATGACAAGTAACCATAAAAGTTTTTCTAAGATGAGATCAATCAATAGGAGGTAGTAATCATTAACATGTAAGTCGACATTGTCAACCTATTGTTTCTTTTTCTTTTTTTTTGCTACTGCATATATATATATATAGAAAAGTGTTACACCGCGCTGTCAATGTGTCGTAGCGATCAGGAGGTCATTAAATATATGTATGTTCACTCGCCGGAAAAGCCATCAGCATCAGCATGAGTTGAGTATGTAAAAATAAAGAATAAATGAGATGAATGATGGCAATGTCATATATACTGTACACTAGCTTACTTTCGACAATGGGAGTGACACTTCAATCAATTTTTTATTGAAGGACAAACATTATTTTTAGTTAAAGATTATTCATTTCTTTGACATGTATAACAGAGTTTTATCAAAAAAAAAAAAGAAAAATTTAAAGTGCAACTGCTGTGTGATACTATTATTAACTTTACTTTGCATATAATTTAAAAATTATATAACATGAAATCAGCTTAAATGTCTCCGAATATTCTTATTGAATTAAGTAGAGATTTGATTTTTAAGCGGTTTTTTTTCTTCTTATTATTCTTATATATAGACAAGGATGATTACAGTCAATGCGAGACAGGTTATATTATAAAGATATCGATCAAAAATATAAGTATTGGCAGCTGTATTCGATTGAATACAGAACATTAATCTTAAGGGCATATTATTCATATCATCGAATTGATTTTATTTGCTGATAGAAAAAAACAAATCATTCGAAATAAACTTTATCGTTCTTCTTTGATCAAGATAATATTATGAAATTGAAAATCGGGAACTTGTTACCTTCATCTAAGGTTAATAAGTTATTCATATATGAGATTTTTTTTTTCATAAACACATTTCATAAAAGGTGAGAATATTTTTCCTAATGAAATGAATGACAACAAAATTGATTATTTTATTCATGAAAAATCTGACGTGTCCTTGTCGATAGAATATAATACTGAACATTATGAATAGTAGTGATAATTAAATCAATTGTAAAGAATGAGAAAGGCTAAATAGAACATTTAAAGAGTTATTGAAATTCAAGATTTTTTAAGTTATCTATGTTGAATTGATTATGAAAATGAGGCCAACTTCACTGACGTGATAGTGAGATAATTTTCCAGATGTTTTCAAACTCTGCAAGACCCGGTAAATGAAAAAATCGATAAGAAACTGATATCAGATTCCGCGAAAATAATGGCAACACAAAATATATAAAATGACACTACGCTTTGAAGTTATTCATCTAGTATCGTACTACTTACATATATGTTAATGTTTAGATGAAACTAAAATTTTGTATTTATGAGTTATTTGATTTTGACTGTAAATCAACATAGTATTATTCTACTTTAGTTTTCATAATTACGACTCTGAGCATCACAAAATGTGATCTTTCATTGTCGTTGACACAAAATGTTTTTCCAACAAAAGATTCTCATCTAGATCCATTTGAAGATGCATATCTACGAACAGTTCTTCGCATGGACGAAGTTGCTCTATTGCATATACTCAAACTCAGTGATGATGAATTTTTGTCAGAAATAAATGAAGACGTTGATGAAACGTTTTCAGACATGACTAGTGTGTAAATATTCAAAAGTTATGTAACTAGTTAATCCTATATTTCTAGGTTTAATGATAACAAGTAAGGCAATAGTATTTGATGATAAAAAACTAGACGAAGAACTTGTCTTACAACGTGGAATTGAAGAAAGTTGGGAGGAGCTTGTTGTTGCGGGACCAATTGCTGTTAATTATATTGGCAATTTGATGATATTGTCTAGTAAACAAGATTTTCCTTTTAGACCATCAAATCCTGCACATGTCTACCAACATATTCAATATCCAAAGTCATTTCGAACTACTCTAGTGCAAATTGCTCATCGAATCTACAATGTATTTATGAATGCACATAGTAACATGGATCGAATTCAATTAAATATACAACAAATACCAAAGTATTTAAAGACAATTCTTCAATTGCTGACATCTGCTTCACCTAATCTTATTCAATCATTGCTTCCAGGAGCATTAGGTAATATAGAACGAATTGCAAAACTATGTGCTGACGCAGCCAATTCTACAATGAAGAATTACGAGAGTGCGACACGTCTCTTACAAGAAGTAGCAGAAGTCACAATAGATTCCTATGGATCCAGTACTGCTTCACTGACAAATATAACTATATCGGTAAATAGTTCCTTAGGCGAACAAAATCTATTGAATAATCAATTGGAAAATATCCGAAAACAATATGAAAACACTAAAGGAATTTTACAAAAAGCCCGCGAAGATTATTATAATGCATATCACGCCATTCCAGTACGACCTAAACGATTCTTTGGAGTCATCGCTGCTGGTTTAATTGGTGGACTGGTGGGAGGTGCTTTAGGAAGTCTTTTTGGTGGTAACAAACCACCTCCTCCTTCTATTGATAATATCGCATTTCAAAATGCAAAAGAAAAAGCAGAATTAGCACTAAAAAATCTTCAAGAAGCAGAAAGACAATACGATCAATGGTATTCGTTAATGCTAGAAAAGCAAAATAAATTAGCTGGAATTATAATACAAATGTCTCAATTACAAATGAGTCAAACAGATTACAAAACTACCATCGATATTTTAGTTAGCGCAGTAAAGGAAATAGGTGACATTCAAATACAATGGGGACGTATGACCAGATTCTTTAGTATATTGGTAATGCGAGCTGAAGCTACTCGAGAAACAATATTGCATGAATTTGTTGATACTATTAAACATGTAACACTAAGCAATGGTGTACTAGATGATGCGGATCGAGAATTTTTTGTTTTACAAATGCGTGATGCAGCTGATGAGATAGAACAAGCTGCTCAT